CACACTACTACACACTCACTCACACACACACATATATATATATATATATATATATGTATATATATATATACATATAGATATATATGTATAGGTATATATATATATATATATGTTTATATATATATATATTGATACATTTATCCTTTATGTTTTTAACTGGACATACCGGCTATACAAAGTTCGTTAAGGTTTTTGGACGGTAGTTTGTTATGCTACAGTTATGGTGTTATATAAGTGCATTACTCCATGCTGAGCCTTAATATTTCCATATTATGTTTGCTGTGTGTTTACGTTGGTTGATACGACCATCTATATGTAGTTGTGGTTCCGAGTGTGACGGAAATCCAGCCAGGGACCTGGTAGCATCAATTACACACGGGGTGCGTTCTAGTAATCGACTTCGTTTTCATCACGATATCTAGGTCTTTGGAGTTCCGGAACCAACGTATTCTATCCGTGTGCTGCGATAGAGGATCTAGTAATCAATGAAGCCATTACCTGCCACCGAATACTGATATATGGAGTGCTCTTGATACGGCCATCGGGTGGGGGCGATCAGCGATTGGAAGTGCTATTTCCGGTATGACCTTATTCGTTTTGCTCAGGATAGACTTTTCATGAAGTGGAATCTTGGATAATGTTTCAGAGCATATTTAGCAAATACTGCGTTAACAGGAAGTGTATGTATGTGAAAGCTCTCGGGGATATTGGCCTTTCGTGTACAGTTCATAATGGAGTGTAAGTTTAGTACTGCTCTCCACATGCTTGTGCTTTCAGTCGTTTACATCATACAAGGAACGCGTAAATATACACTTTTGTGGCCATAATATCTTGAATCTCGCCTCTTCATACTTTTATCCCAAGCTACATGTATATCTCTTCTCTGTCGTACTATGTATTAATCAGAAACGCCGTTGTTTGCGTGCTGCAAGCTTCCTTACAGATGACATCGCATTACAATGATCACAACTCGTTATATTTTTAAATGATCCCACTATATTAGACCGAACTTTCCACATGTCACACATCGAACTTATCATTCTCTACGGATCTTTTTATACCAATAGCAACTCATCCCTAGGCTGAAGGACCTGGTGCAGATTTGCAACGAATGCCGGGAAATATTGTTCGACGAAGCGGTTGAGATTGTAATGTGAGGGGGTACTTTTATACTCGGTGGTCCTTCTCAATAGCTATGTTACCGTTCATGCAACTCTTCCCGTCTATCACAGTTTTATCACCGTCTGCGCGAAGGAGTCATGTACGGCAACAGTCTATTATATAAGAAGGCGACATCCTAATAACAGAGCACTGTTGGTTGCGACCATACTGCCTGCATCAACTGAGACGGTATTTACTCTTGCGATGATCACCGATAGGACAAAGCGTCAACTAATATGGTCAGGTGATATCATGTGAAGAATTTTCCTGGGAATACAAAATTTATAAGTTCCTTTAATAGTCGCATACGCAATGTCCGTTTACGAGTGCGTATACAATTCTATCATAAAAATAGATTTTGATCAGAGGTTTCATATACGTGTAGCAACGCGACACTGGGATAAACAGCAATTCTTCTCTCCATCTTGCCCACAAGAATGTTTAGATGGGCATGACTTTACATTGATATACCTATGTTTACTTTTCTAGATTATATATTGTATCTTGTCTTTTTGAGTATTATTTTTGATAGATTTTGCAGATATTGCCTGCTTAGTTTTGAGTGATCCTGGTAGTCTATCTTATCGCGAAGAATCCAGAGCAGCATGTATCTCAAATTGAACGGGACAGGGGTACCAGGAATTTCAGATTGACATGTTAGCCAACCCCCCCCCCCCCCCCGGCCTCGCACACGGCGGCGGGGTCGAATCAATATTTTAGCATGAGTGGCGCAGGAGAAGACCACGTCTAGATCATAGATCCTGACTGTCGGCATACATATATCGCATTGCAATAGCTCATGGAAGGCGACTCTACGCACCTATATCCTAGGAAGAAGGGCGTCGAGACGCGCACATGAAGTCATTGGCTTCATGCCGCGGGGCTACAACAACAGTCCATACCCGTATAGTAGTATGAATTTTCAACCTATCCACATCGATTCGTTTCTCGTCGTATCGCATCAAACCAAAGACTGGTTCGAGTAATAACGGTTTCATATATTAAAATATCATAATTGCCTCTCGTTATCTCGTGCTTACTTCTTGCATAACTTGATCCATAAGCGAAGCCCCTGTAGGGGTAGCCTCCGACTTGGTCCGGCTTTGCTCCAACGTTGATCGCACCGTATTCATGGGCGGTTCCGAGTGTCTTGTGAGATATGTGCTAGAGTTTTTTGAACGCATCAGGCTAAGTACTTTCTGCTTCCGTTCCCATTCTTTCCTCCTTTGTTTCTCCATAGCTATTTCGATTGCCATGCTTTCTGTTGTACTCTGTCCAATTTGACGGCTAAATTCATCACGTGCTGGTGTGGCGTTCACATCTAGATATCTCTGTAGCTGCAGTACGCTCACATCTTGTTCCGTGCAAGATACCTTGCCTTTATTACAGCCCAATGTACTGCGTCGCCCTGCATTCGGTTGATCATACAATACCTCGTAGTCATACATGATGTCTGATGTGAAGGGTTTTACTGGGAGGTTCAATTGGGAAGTGGTCGGGTTTATATTTCAGAAACGAAGGACGAGAATTGTCGGCTCAACGGAATCACCAAGCCACTCTAAAGTCGACAGTCGGCAACTGGGCACACAAAACAAATAGTATCTCAATTAACAATATTATGATATCACAGCTTTTCCACACAACAAGAGTGAAAAACTTAAAACAAATCAAAACGAAAACCGATGACCTTTTTTTGTTTTTTTTAAAACAAATCCCCCAACAAGAGTATTTAGATGCGATTTCACTGTTCCAGTGATTGTGCCATTTATGCGGTGTCGCATAAAGAAATTAAAAATATATATTGTTTATCTCTCCATCTCTCAAAATAGCCGACAGCCGGCCGCCGGGTTAGTCGGGTTATCGCCTTTTTTAAAAACAAAATACAATTTATGATACAGGTTTACAAAAAAACAATCTGTACATACATGGTACATATTTACATTTGATTTTATCTATTATGTTCTACAAAACCCTAAACCCTGTTGAATTCAGAAGGCTATGTTCTACACTATAATTTTTATTTATTTATTTCAAAAACAAAAAACAAATAATACAATTTTGACAGGACTGCTATTGTTTGTTTGTATTTTGTATATAAATTAAAAAATCATTTACAAAATAGCCAAAGTCGACACTCGACACTAGTCTGACACTCTGACGCTGGTGGGGTTAGTGCGTCCGCGTGAGTGTCAAGGCCAAGGGCCCACACTTAATGCCATAGCGGGGGCTGGGGATTGGGGAGTGGAGACAGGGGTCTACTAGGACTCTGGGGGGTGTGTCTACTGCAAGAGAGGGAGTCTTGGCCTCTGGCTCTACTCTCTCTGTCAGTAGTATGTAGCTAGAGAGAGGCCTCCGGGGAGTGGGGAGTGAGGTGTGGGGAGTGGGGAGTGGGGAGTGGGGAGTGGGGACTAGCCCCTGGGCCTGGGGACTGGGCCCACTGAGGGTGAGTGACTGAGCGGGGTCAGTCGACACGCAACAGTCGAGTCTTCTAAATAAATACATTGTCGACGGCACACACTGACTCTCCGACTCTCACTTCAACCCTAAACCCTCGCTCACACTGTTTTTATCAATGTTGTGCAAGTGTGTGTCACTGACAAGAGTGTCAGTCTGTCAGATTGTCACAAGTGTCGCAGTTAAGGTACTAAATACAGTCCACAGTCCACACTATCTTGACGTTGTGAATTGCGAGGCTGTAAAAAACTAAAGAGGCCTATATTAAACTTGTAAAAGTATGGGACTTTTTTATAAGTATTTTGAAGTTGTTGTGTGAGTCACTAACCCTGTGAAGCTATGAGACCACAACTATGTACAATTTTACATAAATATGTACTCTATTTTTATTTTAGAGCGAGTTGTGTATTGTGGTTCTTCTCTTCTTCTCTTGTATTGCTAGTGGTAGAGTGGTGGACTAGTGGCGGCACATAGCTTGTTGTAAATATGTGAATCGTGACTCGGGAGTTGGGAGCAGACCATACATCACATAATTTCAAGAAAAAAAATATGAAGGGCGAAAATAGCCGTAATTATTTAAAGAAATACGTAAAATGACACTATTCCGAATTTCAGAAATTAATAAATATGGGTCGAAGACAAATTGAATTTTGGAAATTTTTAGAGCTTAATTAAGAATTTTGTAACATTAAGAAATCACGCAGTTCTTAATATGAAATAAGAATTAAGAAGTCAACATACCTTAAATAAGGAATATGGAATGAATTAAGAAGTCAACATACTTTGAATAAGGAATATGGAATAACGGGATGATCCCGTAATATGAAGAACAAGACATTTCTTGATTAAGAAGTCGATTAAGAAGTCATTATCGGTGCGACAAAAATCGAGAAACAGGTAGTACACCCAACTCGTCAAGCATTAGAATACTGGGCTGGACTAAAGGATCGATTGCCCACTCTATACATGGTTGCACTAATATCTTTTAGTATTTTGCCGACCTCCTGTCGCTCAGAGAGTATATTTTCTAAGTATGAGCTCAGAGAGTAAGTATGACGAGTAGTGCAATGCGGACGGGATAATCTTCTTCGCCGTATAATTTGCCCTGCAATAATACTACAGCTGCATTGCCGACTTGGGAGGTGTTCATTAAAGTCTGTTTTATGTATGTTTTGATACCGACCTATACAGCCGGTACTAGCGTACCACTCGAATGTATCTTCCACTGTATATTTTTGACGGCCTCTGTAAACTTGAACATGTATCTGGAATCCCATATCCATATACAAGTTTGGATCCTGCGTGCCCAACACACCCAGACATTTGTACATGAATGTGTCCATAAGTAGAAAATTGTAGCGCCGATCAATTAGAGCGAAGCGTAAGACCGCTTGTATTTCCTTAAGTAGTTCATTTAAGGCATCCAGCATCGCTGGCGTGTAGAATCGCCATCTTCGAGAAGTGGATTGCATATTGACGTGACCGTGTATATTGTGGCAGTGGGACATAATTAGTTAATGTCGTGTGTGTCACAGTAAATACTTGTGAAATGTGATCAGGCGATTCAGGCCTGATTGCGATGAGTCACTAAGGGTCTGTCTGTCACAGTGTCACTCGTATGACATGAAGAGTGAAATATGGATATATATTGATAACTTAATCTTAATAATATATATATATATTTCTTATTATTTCTTAATAAGAAATAATATTAAAGAACTATAGCAAATTAATAAGTTGTTTGCTCATCAATGAATAATTCCTTATTCTTAATTGTGTAATGTGATATAAAATCGGGAATATCTTACTCTTAATGCTAATTATCAATTATGAAGAATAATTAATTTTGGACATAGATTCATGATTAAGAAATAGGATGAAGGACTCTTTCTAAATCTGTTAAGAAAACGTACAATACGTATATTAATGATGTGATGTATGGCCTGGTCGGGAGTCGTAATTCGTAGGTCGTGACGCTTGTGCTAGACTGTTAGTCAACTTCTAAATAAATAATAAATAGTATTTTAAAAAGTGGCCTTGTCTTGTCAGTTGTCACTTGACATTTGACAGAATTGTAGTACTGCATATTTACAAAATATTCTCTGGTGGTGACTGGTGAGTCGTAATTGTTGTTGAAAATGTAAATACTGTACACAATATTCTAATTCTCTGAAAGACTGGTGACTGGCGACTGACTGACTGGTACATGACTGGCGAGTTTGTGAGTTGTAAGTAAAGAGTTGTAGTTGTGAGATGTGAGGCTGTGAGCTGCGAGCCTGCGACTTGAATTGCCAGCCACAAATACTCATCATCCCAACACCCCGCATCGAAAATTAATAGAATACCCGACTCCCGAGAGTATCTATGATTCTATGTACCACTCTCTCTTAGAGTTTTGATGGCCGTCCGTTCTGTATGTATCCTGTAAATTTTACAGTTCTCTACTACTACTGCTACTACTCTGCTACTACTCTAGTAGACTAGAGTAGAAGAGCGGGTTATGGCCTTATGGGTCTACTGGGTTTGTTAAAATAAATGGCCAAATATACTAAAATATTAATTATATGGTAGAAAATTTTATCCCGGCCGAAAAAACACAACGAAAACAATTGAACTCAAGAGATACTCAAGAGAATCATAAAATTGCCTTTTCAGTTTTTTGTTTGGTTTGTTTAAAAAACAAAACATAGTCAGAAATAGATATGAATTGTAGGTGACAATGTGAAATTAATGGAAACAAAAATAATATTATCGACAGATCCAAGAGACCTATCAGTCTATACTCTACATATCCCTAATATGTTCTAAATACTCCTCTTTTTGAAAAAAGAAATAATGTTAGGTCTCTTGCCCAGATCTATATTCAAATCCAGAAGATAGAAAGACAGCAGACGGCGTCAAAGAGACACTGTCTACCACTGTTCAGTGGCTGATAGTATGAAAGAGTACTCAGTACAGTAAAGAGTCTATATTAGTACATGGACTCTCGTAGATAGTGTTACATATAATAAGAGATAATCTGAGTATATGGAATTATGGACTGTGAGTTATACATAACTCGTAAATAATTCGTAAAGTCGTGGACTCGCGGGTCAACCATATGGTGCGAAATACAGTCGTCGCACTATGACTTTGAGCTGCTCTTTTTATATATAAAAAATACAAGCTTGACAAGTTGATAATCTGTCTACAACTCCACATACGAGCCTCCGTCCCTCCGACCGTCCTGACGTTCTCCGAGAGGTCTATTCAGTATTCCAGCTACATACTTCACTACTCTAACTATCGAATCTATTTATTCAATTCTTATGAGCGCTCTCTAGTCTCTGCACAGAGAGTTGCTCAGGGTTTTATCTTCTTTTAATCAAACAACAAATCACATTGATCTTGATAGAGGGTACAAAAGTTTAATAATAATAAAAATCGAGGATCCTGTATGGGCGACTTGTTTGTTGCCGGGCGTATATATTACTTATTTATCGGGAGACATTTATACAACAGACAACAACTTGCTAGAGTCACGAGTCACGAGTCACGAGCTCACGTCCTCACGACTGACATAAATATTCGATATTTGTACAACGGGTCTTATTTTTTAATTTTTAATTTTTTACAAATATAGGACTTGCACAGGCCCCGTTGGGCGTTTAGGGCTTGAGGCTTACCGGCCAACAGAACTTACAGAAGACGAGGAGGGTGAGAGACGACTTCAGACGAGTTGAGATCTCTTGAGAGTTGAGACGGTGATTTGAAAGTGGAAACGCGAGTGGTGACTGACTGACTGGTGACTGGTGAGTGGTTAACTCAGAACTGGCGAACTCTCTAGCGAGCATGCTACAACTTTTTCTTTTAAAACAAAAACTACAATATTGCTCAAAAAAAAACAAAAAAAACAACCCTGAGTCCTGAGTCCTGACTCCTGAGAGGCCTGGCCAGTGTCGGTGGTGATCACTCTGAGTCTGATGCCCACTTGTGCTGAGTGAGGCTGAATATGGTTCTTGGACAGTTTCCGTTTTTAGCAAAATGTTGGACAAATAGAGAGGTAGACACGCCTGGGTCAGGTTCACCCTACCAGGTTCAGGGACTGACTCGGGGCACAGATACGGAGCTACAAAAGGCACTAATTATTCAGTAGTCTGTGTTGTTTTGTCTAACTCGATTGCTGCAGATACAGCAGTTTGTGTCGAGTTGTCTGGCTTAGTCGGTGTGCCATTGTAGAACAAAGAATCACCACGATATTCTGGTGCCTGACATTTATCTGCAGCAGTAGCCCATTGAGCCATGCCCTTCGCCAATGTGCACGCCACAAATTGTTTGCATATTGCGGTCGCAACGAGCACACTCGTGTACACCTGACGTTAGGTTGCGTGATCGTGCATTCTTTTTCACACAACAACAATCACCACTAGAAGTGTCTTGCATCAGAAATTAATAAACAGTAGTGTATGTACTTATTAGATATTACTACAAGCTAAGCTAAAAATGTTGTGAATAGTTTATACACACACAGTTACAAATAAATAAAATATGCGAACGGGCTCAAACTTCAAAAGTTCAGGTGCCTCAAAACTCAATCTATATATTAAAATACGATACCTACTCGACGAATATATTAAAATATGACAAACTTCATTCTCATCTTCCCTGCTGGAAACAAATACAATTTTTAAGCATTCACCTTTTATTAGAATTCATTTTATAGCTGATAGGTCTGATTTTGAAAGAAATTTGTTGATACAATAATTTTCAATACACAGGATTTTCAATTTACACATGTATATGATCATATTAATGGTATATTGTACTTTGTTGGTCGTAGAGGCATGTACGGGACATATTTGACGCATTGTACGACTGTGAATAATTGCAAAAAATTCTACCTTCACACACTAGCGCACCAGAATATGCATAAACTGGTTACACAGGTTTGCCAAGTGCGGTACTGATTGTTGCCGCGTGGAAACTGTTGAAATATACCCTGTCATTCACAGCATCAATAGGTATACGGTATTTATGCCGTTTCTTTTTCCTTCCAGTATTCACGGACATATTTTCAGGCTTTAAATTTTTACTTGTACATAGACCCGAGATTTATGAATCTCGTATAACGGTATATTCCACTTCTTACAAATGTTAGAAACGTTGGTAGAACAAATTCGAAAATTGATCGCTACTGGAGAACACCCTGATGTTCCCAATGAATACTGGCGGCTCTACGCAATGGAACTTGTCATCACCTTTCCATTTATATTCATCAGAAGGGAGTGTATTTCGAGTTACTTGTCAATTTTTGACCGCTTCATTATAATAGAAGCCGAAGGCTATGGTTTTCCCATCTTGCTCAGAGTCCAGACTCCAGATTCTTCCAGCCATATTTGCAGGCCGCACGCGACTGCACGCGAGAGGAGAGCGAGCAGCCTGCAGCCTGAACTCTGCAGTCTGCAGTCTGCACTATTCAATAATCAATATTCTGCACTTTGAACTTCTAAAGTCTGAATTGGTTTTTTGTTTAAAACAACAAAAAACAAACCACTTGAACCTTCCAATTTAAGTTCAGCCTTCATTTTTTTTAACTTTTATACTCCAATGAATCATGGATCTATTCCTAAATTTGGGCAAGATCGCTAAAATCTATACTCAAATACATAAATAATTAAAACATGACCCTCTGAGTCTGGAATCTGGATTCATCTCGGGGAAAAGTTGCATCATCCTTGGCCCGGCTCTGGGGAGAAAGTCTTTTTCGAGAGACTTTTACGAGTTTATCACCAGAGACTCAGAGAGCCACGAAAAAGTAGGAGACAGGACTCTCACTCTCCAGTCTCCCCCCTGAGTGGCTGAGTCCCCTGTACCCAATATATATATATATGTATTTTTTTAAAAGGTATATTTTTAAGATTTGACGGGGGTTATAAGCTCCCTATTGGGGCTTTTTAAAGGCTTTTAGTCTCTTTTAAAACAAAAATTAAGTAAAACACAAAGCTCTGAATAGAGGGAAACGTTAACTTTTATTTTTGGGTTTTCGCACCCTTATTTGTTTTGCGAAGGCGCGCCTCATGTTTAAACTGCAACTTCAATTTTGGTTCACGTTTGGGTCCAGATTTCCATTTTCTTTTTGGTTGTTGTTGGTGGGGGGCTCGAGTTTTCTTTTGCGCTAATTTCTAATTTGGGGTTTCGTACCCTTGTAAGCGCGCCCCATGGTTTTAAAAGAGTAACTTCAATTTTAGTTCACGTTTCGGTTCAGATTTCCAATTTCTTTTTGGTTGTTGTTGTTGGGGGGGGGAAGCCCCCAATAAACGTATCTCTTCTGCTGGTATCACTTCGTGTTTCTTATACAGGGCCTTTCTATATTCATGTGCATAAAAAGCTTCACTCTATTCCTTATTTGGATAACTAAAATTCTGAGGGACCTAATAGCTAAAGTTTTTAGTGATAAATATATTCCTTCCTTCGAACACGAAACATAGCCTTCTATTGCTATTAATACCAAGGTTGAGATGGTTGAGAGAATAGCTAGAGCTCTACTTAACCCAGTGACCCTGTCATCAGTCGAGACTCGAGAAGCCACCGATATCATTATGGCAGCTCTAAAAGAGGACGAATAGCTACAATAAAGTGGTCTTTTTTATTTTTTAAAAAAAGCGACAGGACCAGAGAGGCTCGCAACAAGGCCTAGTACAAGAAAAGTCTACTTACTACATACTAGCAGAAACAGAACTCTTGTTGGAACCGCCAAATGCAAGACGCAAGTTTGTGGGCCAAATTCAGCAAACTGGCAAACAAAAATGGAGAAAATGGCAGTTATATAATTCGACAACTGTCCACAGACTCCACGCCCCACAGTCCACATCTCCACACGGGCTATACAGTATTACAGAGTGACTTATAGAAGTAGTCACAAGAGTGACAAGAGATGTCAGATGTGTACTTACGTGCCCCTTTGTCCAGTAACCAATCGCCAACTCTTTCCAAACCGCCAGTTGCAATTTATTTGAATTCTCAATTTTGAAACAATTGTAGCACTGTACATGGCGGTATAAAAATATTTACCAAAAAGTCTATTAGAGGCATTGGAAGACTAAAACCGGATGTCAGAACTACGGGGTCGCTCGACACTTTCTGCGTTCCTATTCTTAAAAATTAGTTGTAAGATGAGTTTGAAAGCTACATTGTCGGAGCTGAAAGAGGCCTACAGGCCGAGACTCCCTGCGTCAGATAGGAAGCGGCGAGTCCTCGCGGGTATAGAGACTGCGTTACCCAAAGGTCAAACCACAATTTCGGCTATGTTCCGTGAGAATGCGAAGAGTGAATTTAGCACAAGGCAACGAAAGCGCACAGGAAGCATTAAGACGTTCACCAAGATGCCAAAAGAATTAGCGAGAGAAGATTCAAAGCATGCAACCAGTAAACTCAGCCTAAGGACAGAAGCACAGCATGATATGCTCGCAAAATATAGACCAAGTCTAAAACCCGAGCCGAAAACGACGGAGCATCCATGTCGCTCAAATGAAAAGCAATGTTGTACTAGTCAAAACGAGCAGGGGACATATAGTGAAGAAATATGGTGCGACCAGTTGGATACAAATAAAGAGTTTTTGGAGGCTGAGACGCGTACAACGAACCAGATGTGCAAAACAGAACAGCCGCGGTCGTTAGCAAGCCTCTGTAGGAGAAGTAGTCTGCTTCAAGCTCAGACTGAACCTGAGCCCGGAACAACACTAATTAACTATGAGCAGCAAATTACCCAGTACAATGTAGATACACACTCGCCCAACGCCGCGATCCCGAGAATTGGACATGGAGTTGGACGCCTTCAGACCGAATAGGTGTGTATGGAATGAGTTCTATGTATATTGCCCCCCACCCCCCCCTACCACACACACTCTCTCTCTCTCTCTTTAAAAACACACTCTCTCTCTCTCTCTCTAACTTAAAAAAAACACACACTCTCTCTCTCTCTCTCTCTTTAAAAAAAAAACACACACACACACACTATATACATACATGTACGTA